TAAGTGAGAATGTGTGTCAGCAAACTAACACGATGTGTGTGTGTGTGTGTGTGTGTGTGTGTGTGTGTGTGTGTGTGTGTGTGTGTGTGTGTGTGTGTGTGTGTGTGAGAGAGTGTTTATTCTTTCATCTCTTCTTCTTTCTGTATTTCGGTGTGAGTGTGTGTATCCATCTGCTTGTCTATGTCTGGGGCTGTCAGAGACAAAAGTAACGTCAACAGACAGAAATGGGTGGGTCGACAGATGAACATGAAGGAGGTTTTGGTGGGGGAGAAAGCTGTGAGTCTGTGTTTACGAGAGGATTTTTTGGGCGGGAAGGGGGAGGGGTGATTGGGGGAAAAGTAGATTTGTACGCAATTTATTTTAAAAAAATTTATATATGCGTTTTTGTTTGTTTGTTTATTTGTTTGTGTAAGTATGTGTGTGTGTGTGAGTATGCGTGTCTGTGTGTATTTGAGAGAGGGAGCCGGTGGAGGGAGAGGGAGACGGTGGAGGGAGAGGGAGCCGGTGGAGGGAGAGGGAGCCAGTGGAGGGAGAGGGAGAAGAATAAAGAGAAAAATGTCGACGCGACAACTGTCCTGTAGTACAGGGAGGGAACAAGACAGACTGACAGAAACAGACGAGGACAGAGAAGAAGTAGGATTTACCAGTGTCACCCTCCAACCACCCTTGGTGAAAGAGAAAGAAAATAAGGGGAAGGTGGGTATTTTTGTGTTTTGGTAAGTGTTTTGCGGCGCTCGCAACTGCAAAAGATCATATGAGCTCGCAGGACACTTTACATTTTTAGTTTGGTAGGAATTTGTTTTGAATTTTGCCTGGATAGCGGCGAAGTCTACTCTTGTCGATTTTGGATCACCAAGTGAAAGGGATCTTTAACGTACGCAACTTGCACACGGGACCTCCGAGATTTATCGCCTTCATCCAAAATGGCTTACCTACCATAAGATCAGGGGTGTGGCTGATAGATAACCATAAGAAGGAGTCAAGGAGTGGCAGGAAAGGAGATAAAAGTAAAAGGAGAACTTTTTAGACAAGAAAATTTTCCGTCTCTGACCAGATTCGAACCCGGGACATATTGAATGAGTGGGCGAACACCGTAACTCCTCGACCACGAAAGCCTCGGGGTTGTGTGTGTGTGTGTGTGTGTGTGTGTGTGT